AATCCAATCAGGTGCTCTCACTATCAATCAAGGTATGCTCAGAGATAACTAAGTCAAGCCAAGCAGAATAGAGGTTTTTTATCTAGCAATCCTAAGCGAACAAACATAAAGAGAAATAACTACAGAACATGAGTGATCATGCATAAGAGAAAGAACTATCAATGCTAAGAAGCGATAAACAAGCAAGCAACAGGTACAAAGAATAGGTAAAACAATAGAGATAAAAGGTCCTGAGGAATGGGGTAATCGATTATGGCAGTCTCCTTAGTCTACCTAGGTGGTTAACAAACTCAATCAAGCTATCTCTAGACAATAGATTCAAATACAAATCAATCCACTCTCGTGACAGAGATCCTCAAGCTAAGTCACTTTCAAACTCAATTCTCATTGATGAAATATAACCTAGCAGACATTAAGATTCAATCTAATAAAGTCAATAAACATTCTAATCATCCAATCTCTTGGGCTAGAGTATGTAAATCTCTGGAAAAGTTTGTTCAGACATTTCATCAAACACCGTGTGGGCATGGAAATGTCTGAAATCAATTTCCAATTGATATGAGAAGAAATAGCATTAAGATCTACTAAACCAGAAGGGAAATCAAGCAATTCTACACTTAACCACCTAAATATACTAAGGATTCCACACCTAATCTAACTCATCCTCAAGAACCCTAATCCACTACCAGGAACACTGAAGAACATCATGCATAAAAACCCAGAAAACGCTTCAAACCCAGAAATCATTGAAAAGCTAGTATGTTATAGATGAGAACAAGATCTACAACTTTGAAGAAGAAACGAAATTCAAAAACTCAAAGATTCAAAGGGAAAAACGATTACAAAACTAGGGTTTTTAGAGAGAGCAGCGGAATATCTGCTGGATAAAAGGAATATCCGCTGGATATTAGGGTGAACCCCTATTTATAGAAAATACTAGGTTGCCCTAATTTGGCTACAAGACAAAATAGGAAGTCGGCGGAGCACCCCCTCAACGTGAAGTCGAGCCAACCACGTCGAGCCCGTGTGAAAAATCTAAGGTTGCTCCTTTCTAGTATCTGGCTCGACGTGACGTCGAGGCCGTGTGGTCGAGTCCACTCCCAGGTGGCTTCCTGGCGTCCCACTCGACGTGAGGTCGAGTCTGGTTGGCGAGTCTGGTCCTGGGTGATCTTGAATGACTTCATTCCTCTCCAACTCGATCCCAAGTCTAGCTCCAAGGTCGTGTTGGCTCCTGCTTGCTCCATTAAGTCCCAAATAAGCTCCAAAGTACCTGAAACACATCCAATATGCAATATGCTATGCCATGCAATGCAAATCATACTAAGTGATGAAAATGATATGAAAAGGACTATGGATGCAATGAAAGAGAGATGAAACTTAGCTAAATGCACGAGAAAAGTGTGCTTAAAAGTGGTAAAATACAGAGACATCAACCTACTCAACTGAACTTCGAAATACTTAAGGAAAACACCACACTGATATCATAGTCATATGATATCATAGTCATATGATATGAAAAGGACTATGGATGCAATGAAAGAGAGATGAAACTTAGCTAAATGCACGAGAAAAGTGTGCTTAAAAGTGGTAAAATACAGAGACATCAACCTACTCAACTCACGCACCAAAGTTAACTCCCTAGAAAATCAATTTTTCAAAGATGATCTCATGTTATGTAGATCATGAATTGATATGTGCAAGAGAGATATTCGTAAATTTAAATCAACAATATATAATAGAAAAACAAAATTAAATGCCAACTTTGCTTAGATCGTGATATATGATCAAAAAAAGATATATATTTGATAGAAAACTTTGCTTAGATTTGTCTAAATGGTTATCTTCGCTCAATGCAGCGGTAAGCCTAAGACTAAGGCAAAAGAGTCAACCAGCGGTAAGCCTAAGACAATGCATTTGTTTTTCCTAAGATGTCAATGATTTTTCCATTTTTGTTTGTAAATACTGATCCTTTTATATTAAAACAATTAGGACTCAGGACCCCGCGATGTTGCGGAGAGGAGAAGATTGCAAAAATATTTATAAAAAAATATCAAACAAAAATCATATTGAATTGAGACAACTTTGCAAGAAAAAAACAAATTTAACAATAAATCAAGATATATCTTTGAAAATTTATGATAAAAAGACTTAACCCTCAGAATTATTTATTAAAATTTATGATATTATTAGAAAAAATTATGGTGAAAAGATGCAATCAGAAGTAAAAAAATATTAAACGAAGAGTTATAATGAGTAGACTTAATTTTTCAATTTATTAAAAAATTATAAATATAATTATATTCAATAAACCATTAAGATAAAAAACCGTAACATTTTAAATTGTGTTATGTTAAATAAAGACAATCCGTGGAAGAATCTATATATATATAATGGAAGAGTTGTCTCTTCATCTAGGATGCCCACATTATCATCCAAGTCATCCTATTTTAATTTTGTGTAGGTTCCACATATTTTATTTATTAAAATATTAACAAATAACCAAAAGTTGCAAATATTCAATTAAACGGGTACAATTCATTTAAATGTATTTCAACAATTAAAAATTAAAATTAATAATTTTTAATAAGTTACACCGAGAAACGCAACTATAGATAACTGAATGTTATAAAGATTTATAAAATAAACTAAATTGCAATGGTTTAACTAAACGGTTGCAATCGTTTATGAAAAGTTACAATAAAACGACTTAACTGTAGAAAACATTTATTCGGATTGCAATTTTTTTTTAAAACACAACCGTGATATATACTTTTTAGTTAAAAAAAATTAATAAAAAGTTGCAATAAAAAGATAAAATTTTTCATTGCATTTAAGTAATTAAAAACTAAAAATAAGAATTTATGAAAAGTTATACCGAGAACCGCAATGGTAGATAGTTAAATTAATGTTTTAACGGTAGATAAAATAAACCAAAACTTGCAATTGTTCGTAAAATAAACTAATTGTTGCAATGGTTCAACTAAACGGTAGCAATGAAAAATACGCAATTGTAGAAGACATTTCTTTAGATTGTAACTTTCTATAAAAAAACACAACCGTAAAAATAAGTTTTAGTTTCAATAAAAATGCAATGAAAAATATATAACGGAAAAACGTAACTTTAAATGAATAAATGAAACTATAAAGATACAACCATAGACTGAAAAGATACGACTGTAATTGAACAAGTATAACCGTAAATAATTCAATGAAAACTCAAAGAGAAAATTCAATAAAAAAAATGAGATAAGTTGTAAAATAGTACGTTTTCCAAACTTAATTGGAAAAGTAGTACATAAACTATTTAAAATTTGACAATCAGTCTGTCTGCTAGTGTGCGTGAGATATGCGACCTCTGAGATAGCAAATAAAGTGGGGTATGAAGGCTTCTGTGGAAATTACGAGAAAGGGCTTCCTTCAATTTGCAAGGGAAAGGGGAGCCTCTGGTTGAGCCCGTGTTTTTTACCTTTCGTAATAGTTGAAAATTGAGCGTAATGGGCTGAGAATGCGTTGTAATGGGCCTAAACATGATTTCCACCCTATCTAAAAGATTAAGTAATTGACAAAGTCAATTCTCAAAGACCTCGACTTCATCAATGGCGGAGACAGAGCAAATAGAAACGACAACATTAATGAGAAGTTAATGCCTTCGAAATTAGTTACTAGGTTGGTGAGGGAAATGATATAATACTTAGATTCCTTTTCGAAAGTGGCTTAAATTTTTTGGGGGAAATTTATTTTGGGTTTTTTGATGAAAAAGTCATTATAAGATTAAAAGAAGAAGATGAGTTCCAGTTTCGAAAGGGTTTGTTTATTCCTGAAGACATTCAGCTCCGGAAACAAAGAATGGAAGGTGGAATTCCGATCAGAAACTATTTTGTTAATTTCCTTTGATTGTTTCAATAGTATTAATTGTACAAACTGATTCTAAATTGAATTTCATTTGTAGTGGATAATACTGTTGTCGTACAGGCTAGAAGATGGATTTTGTTCAGCACAGGTGAATGGGAGTTCAAGATGGATTCTTATCGGCAGGGGAGGACGTTTAGGTTGATGGGGTTAAAAACTCTCAGGGATTTGGAGCTGAAAGTGAGACAACTATACAGAATGGAGAGGAGCTGGATATCTGTTGAGCTTAGCTACATGTTTGAGGACAAATTAGCTCTGCTAGCTGGTGTTCATCCGGGACCGACATTGATTGGGTGTGATAGACAGTTTCGAAGTTTTCAATCGTTAAGCATGGATGATAAATCTGTGAACCTGTTCGTGTGTTTTAGAGAAGGTGATGGAGTCATAGTCGGGCCTACTCCTGAAGCTGGAAAGATTGTTAGTTGCCTCGCTAAGGGATTAGAAGCTGGAGTTTCATCTACAGTGATCGTAGTGGCTGGAGGTAATTCAAGTGATGGAGTCATAGTCCGGCCTTCTCGTGAAGCTGGAAGGATTGTCAGTTGCTTCGCTAAGGGATTAGAAGCTGGAGATTCATCTACAGGGATCGTAGAGGCTGCAGGTAATTCTAGACCGGCAGAGGAAGTAGGATACTTTGCTGGGCTAATATCTTCAGTCCAACACAATATTCTGGGAAATCCTCCTAATTCTCAGTTAGCGATCGCTCAGAGTTCAGATGTTATTGACAGTTCCGGGGGGGGGGGGGGGGGTGGGATATAAGCGATGATATTCTGTTAGAAGCCCTAGAAGCAGTGGAGATGCCAACTAAAGGAGATTTGGTTGTTGCTACGGGGGTAAACACATCTGTAGTTGAAGAAGATAAAATCTAGAGCAGTGAAGATGAAGAGTATTCTGAAAACTCTAACGATTCTTATTGTTAAAGTGTGGGGACTGAATCAGAAGTTGATGATTTGGATTATGAATACTACACTGTAGGGAGTGTTGAAGATGTCCAAGAGATTGTGGAAAAAGAAAAAGAAGACAATGGGGATGATGATTTCGTTGAGCAGCCCCCGAAAAAGAAAGTCAGACCGAAAGGACTGACAACCTTGGATGTAAATTAAAGGAGGCGTTATGACAGAGTTTCTTGAATCTTTTCAGAAGGGTATAAGCATCGATGAAGTTTATGGGTATGAGGACATTGAGCCAATGTTTGGAGATGATGATATGGACAGGAAAGCAGCTCATGTTGACTTGAGTAAGGAGGATGACAATATGTTTGTTGGAAGGACTTTTGCGTCGAGAGAAAATTTCAGGATTGCATTGTCAATTTATGCTATTAACCGTATATTTCGCTTCAAATTTACGAGGTATGAGAAAAATTATTTGGTAGCTGAATGTTAGGATAAAAAATGTTGTGATTGGAGAGTATTAGCACATCAAGTTGGACAAAGTGAAGAATATGAGGTGACCAAGGCAAAGTTGGAACATATGTGTAATGTTGAGACGAGGAGCAGGTTTTCAAAACACGCTACTTCTAAGGTTGTAGCTGCACTCCTAAGGGCCAAGTATGCGAAGACGTTTTGTGGTCCAAGAGCAAGAGACTTACCCGATTCTCTGCTGAGGGAGCACAATATGAGGATGACGTACTGGAAAGGATGGAAGGCTAAAGAACTGGTTGTAGAGACAGCTCAGGGCACATATGAGAGTTCTTTCACCTTGTTGCCGGTATATCTCCATGTACTACAACTTGCAAATCCAGGAACAGTATATCATTTGGAAACTGAGTTGGATGATGTTGGAGATGAGCGATTCAAGTACGTGTTTCTAGCATTGGGGGCTAGTGTGAAAGGGTTAAAATACTTACGGCGAGTTGTTGTAGTAGATGGTACACACCTTTTCGGAAAGTATCTTGGATGTCTACTTACAGCAAGTTGCCAGGACGCAAACTTTTAGATATATCCAGTGGCCTTTGCTATTGTGGATAGTGAGACAGATGATTCATGGACATGGTTCATGACTAAGCTTTCTGAAATAATCAAAGATGGCGCAGACTTGACCTTTGTCTCAGATCAGAATCAATCAATATTCAAATCTGTGAGTCTTGTGTACCCTGAAGCACACCATGGAGCTTGTTTGGTCCACATAAGAAAGAATGTTAAAGGAAAGTATGGAAAGAAGAGTGGGCTTCCAGCCATAGTATGGCAAGCAGGTAACATGTTCCGGCTCAAAGATTTTAATAATGTGTGTGAAAGAATCAAGAAAAAGAATAAGGGTTGTTGGCAATATCTGGAAGAAATTGTGGTTGCGAATTGGAGCAGGGTTCATTTTACAGGGGAGAGATATAATTTGATGTCTAGTTACATTGCTGAGTCATTGAACAATGCTTTACTACCAGCTAGGGGAAGTCCTGTTGTAGCATTGCTTGAATTTATAAGAGAAAAGCTTGCTAGGTGGTTTGAATCCCGGAGGAAGAAAATCTCTAGATCAGTCGGGGACATACCAATTGCGGTTGAAAGAGAGCTGTTGAAACGGTTCAAAGGTGGGTTGGGAATATCAGTTTTGGCTGTCAGAAGGTGGGATTTTGAAGTAGGCGCTAAGGATGGAGAACTGTTCCTTGTCTCCTTGGAACAACAAACTTGCACTTGCTTGGAGTTTCAAAAAATAAGAATCCCCTGTGCCCATGCAATGGCTACAGCACATGATAGGGATTTGGAATTCAGAGCTTTGGTTGGAGAGATGCATAAGCTAAGAATGTGGTCACCAACGGTCCAAGAATCAATCCTCCCAGTACGTGATCCATCGGAGGTGGATGTGCCTGAGAACATAAGAGTTCTCTTTTTAATGTCTCCTAAAACAGGGAGACCCCCAAAGCTGCGGATTCATTCAGTTGGGGAATATGAGGTTAGTATATTTATACTTCATCCATATATTGGAATTTAATTCACATGTCACATAACATGTTTAACCAATGTAGGGTAATAACAAGTCAAAACAGCCTAACAAGTGTGGAAGATGTGGTGGTTTAGGTCACAATCGGGTCACGTGTACGAACCCACTAGGTTGACGATATGGAATGGAAGAAAGACAGGAAAGGCTTTTTGGGGTGTATGTCTTATCAATGTAGTAGGTATGTGGCTGGGGGACGTATTTTGGTCTATTTAAATGTGTTGTTTTGCGAAGGGGTATACATACATATGAAATTTGTTGGCAGATAATTTCAGATAAGTGTCTATTTCCACTTGTGTAAAAATTATTAGAATTTTATTTTGATGTACAAGAATCAGTGATGTGTATGAATGGTAAAGTATTTCTATGAAATGTATTATTTTGGCTGGAAAAGAAGATTGTTGTACAGATCTTAATATTGCTGTACAGATACAAGGTTGTTGTACAGATACGGAATGAGGTAAATAAGAATTAAAACGTGTCATATTTTTTAATAGACCAAAAAACGTCCCCCAGCCAAAAACCTACTACATTGATGAGACATACACCCCAAAAATTACCTATAAGTGTACGTTTGATGTACAGATATTAGTGTACGTAGACTGTACAGATCTCAGTGTACGTTTGCTGTATAGATCTTGCTATACAGATGTCTCCATATCTGTAGAAGAGGTTGCACATATATAATGTTGTTGTACAGATATCTGTATACAGTTATAAGCGGCTGTACAGATCCGGCTGTACAGATACAAGGTTACTGTACAGATACAAGGTTGTTGTACAGATACAAGGTTGTTGTACAGATACGGAATGAGAGGTAAATAAAAATCAAAACGTGTCATATTTTTAAAAAATAAAACATGTAATAAATATGTTTGGTCAGAGAATTAAATTCATTTCAACTGTAATTTTCGTAACCACTAGACACCTCCGCATTATATATACAACAAAGATTTACTCTAAATAAAGTCAAAAAAGAAGAAAACTTCTCTTCATTTATTTTTCACAAAAAAACGAAAAAATGGGAACTGAAATGCCAGATATCCCTGATGATTTGTTTGCAAAAATCGTTAAGCTTGTGGCAGATGATCGTTGGTGGCTGCTAGGCCCTATATTGAATGCTGGGCGAAGGGGAAGAGATGTGGTGTACAGAAACGACGTTTTGAAGGATGCATGCATTTACTCCCTTTGTTCTGATCCTAGCGACTTGTACTCCTTCAATAGTCGAGAAACTGGCCTCATTACCGGCCGTTTTTTGATAGGTCTTAAGGCAGGTAACAAGATGGCAACCTACTATGAAGGGCTAAGGGTGGTGGCTGAAGGATGCGACATCACGGCGGGTATTGATTTTCTAGCTCAGTTGGTACCTGAGGATGATGAGTAACCCTAGCATGTGGTGTCTTCTCTATTTGCTATGGGAATGAGGGTATGGCTGTACATTATCTAGAGCTATTCGGCAAAATGCATGCTGCATTGGGGATGGAGGAAGTCAGACGGTGGGGAGAAGAGTTGGTCAGGGAGTTGCGTCATTATAGAAGAATGAGCAACAACTCTTACCGTAAGACGTTTCTCTATCCTATTTGCAGAGGTATCCCGTCCCCGGATTGTGCCATGGACTGCGGCATAGTGATGCAAGAATTGGAGCTAATCCAACTTTAGATCACTTGATGATCAAGAGTTCCAAGCTTGCCACGCGGAAGGTGGGATGATGAAGGTGGTGATCTGACACGCTGGCGATCGCTTCTCTCGTGTGGGATCGATTCAAGGGGAATTAATGGATAGAAGGGTCATTGACTCGCTCAATCAGTGGGGTAATCGACTCACTCGATCAATGAACGAATGAAGGATGTTGAATAACTCAACAAACTTAATCCGCAGAATCCTAAAGTACTTGGTGACTCACTCACAAAGAACTACAGAACAATGACAAAGACTCAAACTTTGACAAGTAGAAAACGTTTCTATTACTTTAAAATGATCAAGGGTGTTTTACAATGAGACTAATGATCAGGTTATATAGGGCGGAGTACAACGTTCTAAGACTTCAAAGAAAGAAACAAAACATTAATGAAAATATTGGACATTAAATGTAAAATCGGTCCAAGTAAGGCAAATGAGGTGTGCCTTGTATCTTGTCAACTTGGGGAGGAAGTTGTGACGTCTTGGAAGCTTCTGGAGGGTCTCAAGATTCTCACACAAGCGCACAAACAAAGAAGGAAAGAGTTGTTGCAAGTTGATCTCCTTCGGCTCCATATATGGCAAGTAATAACTCTGCGGGTTCTTGTGTGGTAAGGTGTACCAAAGTTTGTGTGGTACATGTCTTGTGTAGCCTAGATGTTCTCCTGGTTTCCATGTGTAGCTTTGAGGTGCGTCCAAGTGTAGAAGAAGGAAAATTTCCTTGTTTGGCTTCATTTGACGCAGTACTTCAGAAAGTAGTTCAGCGAGTAATTCAGCATGTAGTGCAGCCGGTCTGTCAGCAAGTACATCAGCTATATGTACTTGTAACATCTTTGAATCAATTGCTTGGTAAATGATTCCTTGATGACTTGATGTTGCCTCGTTAAAAACCTTTCTAGGTAAACCCATTGGGGCAAACCCTAGATAAGGGAAAAAGAGTGCAACGGTCAAATTTCCATAACATGGTGATTCGGCTCGCTGGTCTTTGATTCCTCTTGAACCATCATTAGTCTTCTTAGGGTTAATTTTCTGGTGAATAATTAACTCTAGGCCTTGTGCTTGATTATGACTCCATTTGGGCAAGAATCCTCCAAAATGCTCCATATCAACCGGTTTGATACATGTACCGGTTGGTTTGGTATACTCTCGGTTTGGTTTGATTTGGATGTCCGCATCATACCCTCTCCCTTGAAAAAGTTTTGACCTCGAAACTATACAATCTGCACCAAGAGAAAGCAAGTTAGCTTTCATTCGATTTTGGGAGGCTAGGGTCTTACCTTGGTAGGGTGGCGGTTTGATGATGCATGGTGCATCAGGTGGCTCTCCTTTGAGCAAGAAAGATAGGATCACTCCTCTGTTTTGATCCGGTGCTTTGAGTTGTCGTGTTGCTTGCTTAACTCTTTCTCGGGTTTGGGCTTGAGCTTTAAAATCTGGCGGTTCCTCTTTGATTAAGCAAGAGTTTGAAACTCTTCTAGTCTCCATGATAGAGGGTGTTAGCATCAATGGTGCTGGTTCACTTTGGTTTTGAATTTGGCCTCACTTCCGGAGAATCACCTTTATGTTCCATGTGTTCTTTGTTGGTACCCGCAAGTTCATCAACACTTTGGGCAAGAAACAAGTGCATTAAAATAGTCATGGGATCAATATAAACAAGTAAACCAATTTCGGATTGAACCATTTCTTTTCCACAAAGTGATTCAGAAAGTATGTCACAAAGTAGATCAGCTACTTGATATGTCCTAAGACATGAAATTAGTTCCATAGATTTATTTAAAAGATCTACTATTTTCTCACACTCTTTAAGGATTAACAAGTTTATTATCACATCATTCGAATCGCTAGAAACAATTAGAAGTAATAGTTTACTTACCTGACTTAGATCCTCGGTGAGTGTGTCTTTCGAAATCAACTTGGTTTGTTGATTTGATGGCTGGTCCGGTGGTTCTTCTTGCAGCAGGATGTTGTTGGTAAAAATTTCATTCTCCTTAGTGACAGATTTGCATATCAAAAGCTCTTGATATTGTTGTACAACATCATTCGTTGTTTATCCCTCTTTTGGATCCACATGTGTCTCCTTATTACCTACATGTGTCTCAATACTTTTGGCACAAGAAAAGTGTATTAAGGCAGTCAAGGGACGTTCATAAACATAATGAAATAAGTTACTTTGAACCTTTTCATGTGTTAGACCAGAATCAACTTCTTGTTTGCTTTGATCCGAGAGTAACCGTAACATTGTTGTGGCCTCTCTTTGATCTTCGCAAATCTTCATGGTACTTGTACTTTCACTGGCACCCAAAGACAAGATCAAGTGCATTATACTGGAAATTGAAATGATATGGATAGGGTTCTTGAAACTCCTTTCGAATATAAGATAATGCCAATATCGAACAAGATAGTAAGTTTCGCTTACTTGTGTACCATGTAAGGTGTTCGCTATCAATTCAGCCATGATGTGGATGATCTTAGAAGCAAGATCAGCTGGTGTTGAGCAGGGATGTATCATCACACGTCCTTTGAGGGCTGCTTGATCATAAGTCTTATTTCGGCAAAGTTGTGATAATGTTGTTGTTTCCGAAAGTTGTTCCTCAAAACTTATGTCATTCTCAACTTCCTTTAGAGTTGCTTCCTTGTGGTCTACTTCTTTAGATGTTTCATCAATGCTAGGACACAGACCTGCATCAATAACCTTTGGCAAAGACAAGTGCATTAATCTAGAATTGGGAATTTCTAAACTTGAATTCACTAGACAATCATTGGAGTTAGATGCATTCAATTTCAGCTCTAGTGATGTGACATCTTCTACTTGTCTTTTAGTGCATGTTGCAGCAAAATGTCCCCTCTTATGACATCTATAACATGTCGGTTCATTTGATTTTAAAGAATTAGAGGACTTATCTTGCTTTAGCTCAGCGTGTGGCTCAACATATGGTTCAGCATGTGGTTCAAGTACCGGTATGGGGCTCAGTTCTCCTTTTGCGCCTGTACCTTTCTCATTCTTGGCGGAATCTTGATCCGCGTTATGATTAGAACTAACATGTTGATGTGTAGTATTCTTTCGGCTTGGTTCCTTTGGAAGGTTACTGTTTTGAACAGGCTGGGAAAGCATGTGAGGTGCATATCTCTCCCTCATAAGCAACTTTAGTTGTCCCCACATTTTGACTGATGGCTCCTTGTACCACCGTCTATCTTTTTCTTCTCGGTCCCACCAACGTTTTGCGCTTCCCATGAGTTGTTCAAGACAATAGTTGAGCCTCTCTTCTTTGGGAATAGAATAGTATCTAAAGTACTTATCCATGTTGAGTTCCCATTGTAGATAATCTCTCTCACGTCCTGCAAACTCAAAAGATTCAGGTCCAAAATACTCATAACCATTGTCTAGAGATAACCTGAGTTTTGTTTGGTAGGTTCGGGTGGGATTGGATAGTAGTGGGTCTCGACGAGTGCCACGTTTCAGCTCGCCTCCTCTTAGATTAGTGATCCCTGAGTCTCTCTCAGCTAGGTAGTCACGTCTACCACATGGATATGGTTTACGCCACATTGATGATCTCTGAGTCACTTCTTGAGTCACTTCCTGTACTACTCGTGTATTGGTGTGAAAGAACTTGTGTCTCGGTTTTGCTTGACGTGAGGCTGTAGGCCCTCGGTATAAGAAGGTGTGATGGTCGAGCTTCTCTTCATGCCTTGGAAGACGTTGGCAATTGTATTCCTTCGCCGTTGCCCCTTTATACTCCATGTTATCTTCCCACTTAAGATAATTCTCTTTTCCTGAAAAAGACATAGCTCGAGTCAATGGAGAGTTTGAACCATGGCTGCAAAAATCATTATTAAATTTAATACATGGTTTAGAATAGCCTGTATTGGTGTGAGTCAGGCGGTTCTGGTTCTAGTGCTTCACAGCCTGGTTCATCTCTTGATTCAGAATCTGAATGATCGTTGTGATGCCAAGAGATGCTTCCATAGTTGTCTTCCACATCCGACATGACTTGGTAAGGCTCTTCTCCTTGGATTTCTTCATCCGAATAGAACTCAATAGACTCCATAGCTACTCTGGTCTTCGTGAAAGAAGAATCTAGCACAAGCAAAAGAAAGATGTATCAAAAGTAAATAAACAAATAAGGAAAAAGAACAAAATATGGAATTTTTTTTTTCTTTTTATTTTATAAAATCAATGCAAAAATTCAAATGAAATTCGAAAATCTGAAATATAAAAAGGGAAAACGAGCGTTTAATTTTCTTTTCTGGTTTTATAACAATAAATTTCAAAATTTAATTTAAAAATAAAAAAAAAATCCAATTTTTATTGCTTTTTCTTAAAAATTCAGAAATAAATAATAAACAGAAGCAAATAATTTTTTTTTTATGAAAGTACTGAAGAAAATAAACAATAACAAAGCAAGAAACAAAATTTTTATTTGGTTTTCAAATTTATAAAAATTAAATAATAAAACTTTAAAAATTGAAAAAGATATAGGTTGAAGAGATACAACCTTGGGGATAGGAGCTTTTGAAGCTCTGATACCAGATGATGCAAGAATTGGAGCTAATCCAACTTTAGATCACTTGATGATCAAGAGTTCCAAGCTTGCCACGCGGAAGGTGGGATGATGAAGGTGGTGATCTGACACGCTGGCGATCGATTCTCTCGTGTGGGATCGATTCAAGGGGAATTAATGGATAGAAGGGTGATTGACTCGCTCAATCAGTGGGGTAATCGACTCCTCGATCAATGAACGAATGAAGGATGTTGAATAACTCAACAAATTTAATCTGCAGAATCCTTAAGTACTTGGTGACTCACTCACAAAGAACTACAGAACAATGACAAAGACTCAAACTTTGACAAGTAGAAAACGTTTCTATTACTTTAAAATGATCAAGGGTGTTTTACAATGAGACTAATGATCAGCTTATATAGGGCGGAGTACAACGTTCTAAGACTTCAAAGAAAGAAACAAAACATTAATGAAAATATTGGACATTAAATGTAAAATCGGTCCAAGTAAGGCAAATGAGGTGTGCCTTGTATCTTGTCAACTTGGAGAGGAAGTTGTGACGTCTTGGAAGCTTCTGGAGGGTCTCAAGATTCTCACACAAACGCACAAACAAAGAAGGAAAGAGTTGTTGCAAGTTGATCTCCTTCGGCTCCATATATGGCAAGTAATAACTCTGCGGGTTCTTTTGTGGTAAGGTGTACCAAAGTTTGTGTGGTACATGTCTTGTGTAGCCTAGATGTTCTCCTGGTTTCCATGTGTAGCTTGAGATGCGTCCAAGTGTAGAATAAGGAAGATTTCCTTGTTTGGCTTCATTTGACGCAGTACTTCAGAAAGTAGTTCAGCGAGTAGTTCAGCAAGTAGTGCAGCCGGTCTGTCAGCAAGTACATCAGCTATATGTACTTGTAACATCTTCGAATCAATTGCTTGGTAAATGATTCCTTGATGACTTGATGTTGCCTCGTTAAAAACCTTTCTAGGTAAACCCATTGGGACAAACCCTAGATAAGGGAAAAAGAGTGCAACGGTCAAATTCCCATAACATGGTGATTCGGCTCGCTGGTCTTTGATTCCTATTGAACCATCATTAGTCTTCTTAGGGTTAATTTTCTGGTGAATAATTAACCCTAGGCCTTGCGCTTGATTATGACTCCATTTGGGCAAGAATCCTCCAAAATGCTCCATATCAACCGGTTTGATACATGTACCGGTTGGTTTGGTATACTCCCGGTTTGGTTTGATTTGGATGTCCGCATCACATAGCATATGGAGCTTATGAGAATTTGTGTGACGAGTGTTATTTGTGGTGGTTGGCAAGGAAGGTATGTCAAATGCTGTAAACACATTCTCAATAAATTTTCTCGTTGATGTATTTTCATATTATGTTATCATTATGCGGATGTAATTTGTTGTTATTGTTTCCTTGTATAATTAGATTGCTGCATCTACTAGCCATAAATTAGAATATTTTATAATTAATGTATTTTAACATTCGGTAAAATTTAGATGTATAATATTAAGTATTGTATTATAAAATATCTTTGGGTTTGTAACCAGGGGTGTGTTGATATAATCAAGTTTGGGGATATGGTTGGGATAATTGTTGGGAGGAGAGGAGAAGTACAAAGTGAATACTGACTCATTGATATGATTGGAATGCATCTCTACTCAACCACCTATATATTCTCGTTGGACAGATAAAACGATAAATTTAAAAGTTTTGGGGATATTATCACAATGGACTTTTTAATTAATATAAAAGCTGTTTGGTTTGTTAAAGATTCTTGTGTTGAAATGATTAAGTTGGGGATTATGGTTGGGAGTTATGGTGGGAGGAGAAGAGAAGTTAAAAGTGAGTATTGGCTCATTGATATGATTGAAACTTATGACTATACAACCCACTTGTATATTCATGTTGGACAGATAAACAATTTGACATGTATTAAAAAAGTCTAAAAAGAGTTGATTCTTTCTACACCTGACGGAAAAACGGTATTTTCATACCTTAACTCACTATGTATGTTCAATTCATACCTCAACTATACATGCGTGCAAATACATACCCAAACTAACTCAAAATTCAAATTCACTATCTCATCTTTCTATTTTGTGCCAAAACAGACATATCACGAGACGTCGTTAACGAAACGATATAACACAGTAAACGGAACGTTAACGACGTCTCGTGATATGTCTGTTTTGGCACAGAATATAAAGATGAGATAGTGAATTTGAATTTTGAGTTAGTTTGGGTATGTATTTGCACGCATATACAGTTGAGGTATGAATCGAACATACATAGTGAGTTAAGGTATGAAAATACCGTTTTTCCTAACCTGACAGTAGATTTCTTAGATTTCTTAAAAATATAAAAGCAAAGATATTATTTGATATCTCACAATACGATCTGACAAAAGTAGATGCTTTTCTTCATTTTAATATAAAACGATATGAGTCTTTCTTCGACTAACACTAATAATGACTAAGTGTGTAAGAACAAGTTGTTAAGTTGCTTTTAAGATAGAAAAATTCCAAAAAAAAAAGAGACAAGGTTGCATGACAAAAAGAATAAAACGAAGGAGATGCGTAAATCTGGTAGGGGAGTTTGGCAACAACTCAACAATGACTAAGTCTGTAAGACCAAGTTTATCTACAATGTGCATAAAATATCAGAATATAACTGGTATTTGATCATTAAATTGTTGTACGGTACGTTAATCTTACTATGAGACATAATAAAATAATTAAACACTACTTCCCAAATTTTACATAATTATACAATCAGACATAAGGAACTAATACTAGTTTGTTACAAAATGTTACATAGTTATACAATAACATAACTTTGAATAATAATTATTTTACATTAAAGCTTAAAGCAATTCAAGTACTTCTAGAGAAGTTCACAGATACGTAATGCTGCATTGAAGATGTAATATTCTTCGCAATAATATTCGTGACCATGCCAATAAGCACAATCAGGTATGCCTATTCTCCTAGAATCACTACAGGAAAAAGGGGTATTAATAGCACTTCATTATAGCGGTTTATGTGTTTCTGCTATAGTCGACTTATACATGATTTGTTTATAGCGTTTCTAAAATAAAAAACGCTATGGTATGTTAACGATAAAAAACTAATTCGTTCAGTCTTAATTTTTAGTTCTCGAGTTACTTAGTAATAGCCCATACTATTGTAAAACGACATCGTAAATTAACACGAATAAGAAAATTTCACTGTCGCCTAAACTATTAAGAAAATTTATCTAAAATTTCATTGTCCGCCTAAGTAATAAAAAAATTCCCAAAACATATATAACCTAACACCTAAACGATACAGAGTCTTATCGCCTTCCTTCGAATTAACACATCTCATTCCAATAATCATCATCTTCCTCTTCTCTGAGAAACACCACAACACAAAACCTCCCAAATCCGATGACCTAGTCGAGCTCTCTCTTCCGAGTACCTTTCATTCTCTTCCCGACGCAACAATCCGGCTTCAGTTCTTCGAATTCCGTTACGAGTCATGATGCAAACACTCCTGAAGATTCTGAAAGCCATAGAAGACCATTCGCATCTTCTGTACTCTAGCTAATTCCTTAAACCGCCACCCCGACGAAATCCTCATCAATCGCAACAAGAGGGTGGAATCGATCAAGTTCCTAGCGTTGTTCGTAAGGAGGCTAAGACCTATGACTGCTTGCAAGGTAAAATGTCTAGATCCGTTTGATTTTAGGGTTGATTCTGCTTTCGTTTAAGTGTTATTGAATTTTTGGACTCTGAAATTTGGTTTGTAGGGTTTCAGGTTTGTCATTTATCAGGAAGAACTAGATATGGTATGGGAACATATTTTCATCCAAGATCCGTGAAGAATACCCAGGTCAAATGATGCTTACATTCTCAGTGTGTTTCCTTCAGCTAAGGTTAATAATAGTAGAGTCTCTGATTTTTCGATTTATTGAGTCGTACAATATTCATTATCATTATCTAATGTGACATATCTATTGTCGCGGGTGATGACATAGCGTTTTTATTAACGCTATCGTATCATTAGATAGCGTTAAAAATACTCGTTTTTCTTGTAGTGAATAAGCAAACTCCCAAATGGGGCCAAATGTATCCTCACCAGGCGGGTCAAATGACAATAGTGTGTCAATTAAAGCTTCACATTCATCATCTAAATCGGGAGAGTAATTATCGAACCAAAGACGACTACCTAAGTTTTCGAAAATGGTGTCGAAAGTAGCCCCATCAATATCATCCCTCCCAGCACACATTTGAAACATGGCATAGGACACAGTAGCGTGCTCATTTGTAGGCACGAGTTGGTTAAGCAAAGCAAGGGAACCGTGGATATCACCTTCTCGGGTTATTAGACTTAGAGATTCATAATAAATTACCTTAGCATTCTCTAATTCCAAACAACGTTTAAAGAAGGTTCTACTAATCTCTACTTCCAAACAACGTGTAAAGAAGGATCTACTAACCCCACCTGGATATATGTTGACCAGGTCAACACATAGAGGATTTATGTTTGCTGATTGAAGAATATCTCCAGATAACGCAATGTCCCTCCCTCGTTTGTTTGTGAGCATTAGCGGAGCTAGGTGATTAGCGTCTTCATCTCCAAGCTTCTTTACTATGATATGGAATATATCATCTGGTAAATCAGATAAAGACATTACTTTGAGTTATGTGAAGCAAGAGAAAGGTTGAAAAACGAGGTGGATGAGTAGGAAAAGAAATCGGGAGGAATCTAGTTATTTTTTGGTCATATTTATAGAAAACTAATTTAAAGGGAGACTTCTACCCTTTGACCTAACCCTAATCGAAATCCTCATAAATTAAATAAACAAATATATTAGAAACCCAATCGTAACTATTTAAAAACAATATTTTTTGTGTTTGTAAAAGTACCGTACAGACAAACGGGGTTTGATATCTGTACAGTTGATTTCTGAATGGAATATGTACACTTTATATTGAATTTCATATCTGCTGTACAGAAAATATCTTGTATCGAAGATACCAATTTGTACAGTCCACATTTCCCAAGAGGTTGCACATATATAATGTTGCTCTATAGATATATGTATACAGTTATAAGCGGCTGTACAGATCTGGCTGTATAAATACAAGGTTGCTGTACAGATACAAATAAGAATCAAAACGTGTCAAATTTTTAAAAAATAAAACATGTAATAAATATATTTGGTCAGAGGATGCATTTACTCCCTTTGTTCTGATCTAGGCGACTTGTACTCCTTCCATAGTCGGGAAACTAGTCTCCTTATGCAAGGGCGGTACCGGCAGTTTTTTTAGAGATGTCTTAAGGCGGATAACAAGACGGCAATCTACTATGAAGGGCTAAGGGTGGTGGCTGAAGGATGCGACATCAAGGCGAGTATTGATCTTCTAGCTCAGTTGGTATAGAAAATATCTTGTATTGAAGATACCAATCTGTACAGTACACATTATCATCGGTACAGATAATCTTCTGTTTTTCTTATTAACTATACATATATGCTATTTGTACAGTTTTCATGCTGTACATAAGGGGTTTCGTACAGAGGATCAACTGGACAGAGACCAATCTGTACATCATAACATCTGTACAGATTGTGATTTGCTAAACTTTCAGAAATCACAATTGTTAAATATGATTAAAAAGTTATAAGTAGCAAAGTAGTAGATAAACCAATAATATATAGAACATTACCTAATTTAAATCACAGTACACAATACACATAATATTCTACCAATTAAAATTACATATATATTATATAAAAGTTCATAAACAAACAACTAGAACTCGTTCTCACATTCAACAAAAGCAACATAAGTGTCCATCGCATAAACCTTCCTAATACGAGTGACGACCTCATCAGTAAGAGCAGACATCTCAGCGTACTCCATACCATGAGCATGCATCTCAAGAAACTTGCATGCTACAGGGCCACAGTCTCCATCTCCTTTGTTGTTGTACAATCCAGTTATACGTGAACAAGTGAAAGACTCAGTCGTGAGGTTGGTAGTTAGAGTAGGGCAGCAAAATCTCTTCAGAAGCCAAGTAATGCTATCCATGATTGGGGTCATTAGAAAGGCCACAACTTCTTTCGGAGTTGAGGACAGAAAGTAGTCTAGAATTTCATTGGGACATCCCCAGTTCATTTGGACGTAGACAACATCGACATGCTTCAGGAATTCAGATTTCATGTGTATCCCAGTAGATTTCCTTGTTACATATGCCTTGATTAATGAACCCCATTCGAAGTTTTCCTTGTCCTTTCATTTCATGAAATCTTTATAGTGGGTGGCAACAAGACTTGCAAACCATGTATCAATGATGGCAACCCTCTTTAGACTGTATGCTTACGCCCGGCGTCTCACCAGCATTCCCGTGATCAGTTGCATATGCTGTTCCATATAATATAACCAAAGTACCCTAAGGAATATTATTATGCAAGGTGATGGAGACATTAAACATAAAGGGGACTGGAAAACATTACCTCAGTTGTGACCCATTTATCCTTGGTTGGAATGTCTAAGAAGTGGCCATTAGTCAGTTTGTGTCCAGTGCATATGGTGAAAGAACTGTAAAAAGGAATTTTAGATTGTAATTGATAAAAGAAATTACAATGATAAGCTGATGAAAGAAAGAAGGTACAAACCGGTCTGCATCATCATCAAGCAACTCTTTAAACTTCAAAAACTCTCCATCATCCAACTGTGGGAGAGGCGTGTAAGCAGGTTCCTTTGTTCGGCTCTTAAACAAATCACTGATCCTGGGATCAACGCTATACTCAGCAAGGTCGAGGAAGCGGGAGCGTCTAGGAACACGCTTGCGTGGGAGCGGCTGACGAGTTTTTGTTGTCTCAATAACAAAATAAGCAGGTGAGGCTGCAACAATGGAAATGAGATTTCTATATTTACAGTCAGTTCTTGCAGAATATGCACGCGAGTCAGGGATCACCTAGTACAAAAATGTGATTACCATGGAAAAAACAGTTATATAAATTTTGTAAATTCAAAAGTGTATTAGAAAGGGATCACTTATTTGATCCCCACAATTTAGATAAATCATTACCTGTTCAAAAGGTGTTACCGGAGTAGCAGGAGTTTGTTTAAGAGAACCAGCAACTATTTTCGCCTCCTTAGTTTCTTTCTGAGGCTCTTCTGCATTGGAGTCTTCTGCATTGGAGTTTGGGATAGGAGAGGCAGGGCTCTCTGCTGGTATCTTTTGAAAATTACAAATGAAACATAAGAGTGTCAGCATTGTCTATATCCCAGTCACGTATAACAATTAAAACATGACACAGTTTTGAGTAATCATTACCTGTGCAGAAGGTGTTAAAGGTGTAGCAGGAGTTTGCTTAGGAGAACCAGCAAATAATTCTTCCTCTCCAGTTTCTTTCTCAGGCTCTCCTGCATTGGTGTCTTCTGCATTAGAGTTTCGGATGGGTGAGGCAGGTTTCTCTGCATGTATCTTCTAAAATTTACAAATCAAACATAAGAACATAAGATTCTCAGTATTGTCTATTTACTGGTTACGTATAACATATAATACATGACAAAGTAATACCTGAGAAATAGATTTTTAATTGCAGCCCCATAAAGATCCCACGTATCATATGAGGCTTCAAAATTTACACCAGTTCCACCATCTTTACCAATGGGAATGTCTTTAGGTAAACCATGTTTCAAACCGGATGAAGAGCATCCAGAAGACAAAGATGTAACCTCTTCTCTTTTACGTTTCCGAGACCCTGGTTTCTCCTTCTTCTTCTTGGCCTTACTTTTTGATGTCTCCGTCTGAGGATGATCTGGCTTACACTGTTGAGACTGACCCCCTATCAACTTCAAAATATCATCATTAATATTGGATCGGAGGTCGCGAAGCTGTTGATAGATCCAAGCTTTTAAATCAGACAAGTCAGATTGGGTAACAAACTGAGAAGAGGAGCTCCCTCCACCTCCCTGCGAAACATCTTCATGATTAGGAAATTTTTTCCCTGTCTTCTTAGGGGCAGGCTGTGGAACAGTAGTAGCAGCAGCTGAGGTTTGTGGTTTCTCCTTAGCTTTATGAGAAGCAGTCTTCTTGCGGGAAGGCAGGGGACCAACAAACTCTTCTGTAATTTTTGCTGAACGCGTGAAGGGCTTTCGAGGGAAAGGGTAGCTCTCATTTCTCGACCTCTTCGCAGCTTTACTAGGTTCAGATGTGCCTTGTTCCTCTGCATCATCCGAATGCAGGTCAACAACTTATGTTCCTTCAGTATACAAAGGAGCTCCTTCTGTCCCTTGTCCTACCTGTCCTTCCGGTGTCGGAGCTTTCTTGGGTTCAGTTTCTTTTTTCTCTTTGACCACAGTAGGAGAGCAGGGAATGTCGTTCACAGGCCATATCTGAGGCCTGAAGTCGTGCTTTTGGTTGATCAGAGAGATAATCAAATCGACTCCTGGATCAACAACTTCATCAGGCCAAGACAGGTCTTCCTTCAGCAGTTCTGAATGGTAAAGAGTGTATTCCACTGACAACTACACAAAATGCCAGATATCTTTGATGATGGAATTACTTAAAAAACAAATGAGTTATTCCTCCACACTAAAAATGAATCTGGAATGAGATTTAAAATTAAAAAAAACTGACTTACATTAGGATTGTATTCAACCTCAATAACATCTATCTCGCGAAGAAGAATGGTCAGAGAGAGATAAACAGAAGGCCTTTGGATAAAGTTTCTGAAATCAGCAGGGTCTTCAATCCTACTACAAAGGGCAGGAATGGAGTTGAGGACTTGGAGCTGGAGAGCAAGAGGAAACCCGTCACAGCAACTACTTTTTTGTGAAAGTCGGATCTTCATCTCTCCAATAGGATCTTTCTCAAGCAGTGAAGGACCGAACCGTTCCATTGTTGCTTCAAAAGCAACCCGCCCCCATGGGTAACTCATGAAGAATACAATATCATGTAGCATCTCAACAAAAGTCCCACTTACCCGACCAGCTTTTGTGTTGTTGCAAACCACCACCCCATCTACAAGCACAATTAAAGCTAGACTCAACTTCTTCCATGTGGAGAATCGCTTCTGAGGCTCGGCATTATTATCATCCCTAAGCATATCTATAACATCCATCACTGACACTATCCTCTTCTCCCCAAATAGCCGATTCCAAACAGATAGATATGCAGGGTCTCGGTGATCTTCTACCTCAGAATCAGATGGAATCTTATCACAAATCAGGCCAGTAGTGATGTGGAATTCATGGAGTGAGAAGCGGAGTGGAAACCCTCCATATACAGTCCACAATTCATCCCTTTTATGAGTAAGAAGTTGTCTAGCAAGCATTCCATGAATCAACTTTGCAGAATGAGAACACCTTGCCACAGGTAGTTCAAACACTTTTCTGAATTAGGAAGCCAGAAGCAAACCCCATGCCTCATAACCCTCTAGTAGTTCAACCAGAATCCCAAGATATTCTGGCTTAGAGTAGATGTTAAGGTGAGCCAGATCTGGTAACCCATCAGGAGCCAACAACAAACGGCAAGGGAGGCTAGGGTTTGGATTGACATCTTCTCCGGCTGTATTTTTTGCCGGAGATTGTGCAGAACCTGATACAAATCCTATTATTCATTTCAAAAACTAGCCTAATCAAAACAATTGTGAAAGACTGAATCGAAATCAGCAAATGCAGAAATGATTTAGGATTGTATTACCTCTTTTATACTCGCTTTTTGTGCCTCGTTTATACTCTTTTTGGCTTCCTCGTCGAGTGGGTTCTTGATTCATATCGTCGTTTTGCGATTTTGCAGGAGATTTGCATGGAGAATTAACTGTTCTAGATACAGATGTGGCTTCAGAAACGGGTACTTTCAAAACTTAATCAATTTTGAAAGATCTAAAAATCTCAAATTTTTAGATATATGTTGCAAACTAGTACGTTTACTCGATTTCATTACCTCTTTTTGTGTCAGTTTTCTTGCCTCGCCGAGAGGGTTCTTGTTTGATACCGAGTGGAAGGGTTTGTTTCTTCGATTTTATTGATTTCTTCTTCGTCATTTCAGAGAGTTTTGGTCATAATAGAGATTATCTAAGAGATAAAGATGAGAGAACAGAGAAAATTCGAGACCTCGACAGTTCCGGAGAAAGACGAAACGGTAATAAAAAAAGGAAAAAGTAAATGTTGTACTCCAACTTGTCTAAAAAAAAGGGAAAAATATCTGTAGTACTTTGAGTGGCATGAAACCGTAAATAACTCTGTTTATGAGTGGTAAAAAGGGTCTCTCAAAAAACTCAATAGTTCCAACCTGGGGAAAAAACGAATTGTAAATAGTGACCGTATTACTTTTACAATTATGTTTCAGAAACGTACTAGTTTCCAAACAAACCCAAAAAAACACGACCGTAAAAAAATAACCGTACAATTTTTAAACGAAAAGTTACGATAAAAAAACGCAACCGTTCAGAGGTGCAAAATGCATTTAATGAGATTGCTATTATATATAGATTAGTCAATGATATTGTTATTTTAGGCGTTTATCTACCATAATATTATGATGACTTTCTAAAATTTTGTATGCATAATTATGTATAAACATCATCGAAGCGAAACAGAAAAAAAAAAAAGGTATATCAATAAGACGATAAGTTATTTACAAATAAATAAAATAAAAATTGTATAAAAATCAAGGCACGAGTCTTAATCTTCGTAGGTGTTGAATCAAAGTCAAGTTCGCCATTGAAGAAGTCATATATTGTCATCAAAGCAGTAAACAAACGTGAAATGAGGATAAACAATTGATGAAATCATGGAGAAGGCACACATAATACAGCATGGCTAAGTGAATATTATATTATTCAAACGTAGTTGATCGTACTGATTTTGAGTATAATAACATCGAATATAGATTCAATTATTGTGATGCGTTGCGTATTGCTTTACTTTACATAAATTAAATTAACAAGGTTCTTGTCAGTTCTAGTCGGTGGCCATAACTTGAATGTACAACAACCTAAGATTTAATACAGTTACAAAAATAAGTGTACTTTGTAGTGAACCACTCACAAATTAGTTTTTTAAAAAAATTTTCTTGTGTGCGAAATGCCACACCCAAATTAGTAAGAAAAGATTTGTAGTATATTTTGACTGAAACATTAGAGTAAGTAATTTCAGTATAAAAGTTTTTTAAATACAGGTCAATTCATTTTAAACATCTCAAATAAATTTATTATAAACATCCGTTAATAGATTTTTTAATTCATCATTCATTAAATCTATATTTTATGTATTAGCTTGTTAAATATGTGTGTATTTTCTATAAACGTTAGATATTTAACGTTTTGTTTTTTCTTAAACAACCTGAATATCATATGCATCTAATGGGTCTGATTGGTATCAAAAACTGTACAAGTTTTTTAGCTGTTAGCTGGAGCTGTAAGCTTTACCGGAATAGTGCAAAACTGTAAAAAAGAGCTGTACAAAAACGTTGTACAAAAAAAGCTGATAGTAAAACTGTTAGTAACGCTTTTGATAAAGTTTTTGTGATTGGTAACTGTCAAAGTTGTACACCCTATCCCGCTTTGATAATGGGTTACCATTCAAAACCAATATCAATTTAAAATCTGAAAATTTTATGAAGTCTAAATTGTCATCCGTCATGTTTTTTTTTATATATATCAGATGCATTTAGTTTTATAAAATTTACATCAAATTTTTAATTTTTATCGTTTTAAGCAATTTAATAGGTAATAGATTTATTGATCATTTATATTTTAATCGATTATACAGATCTTCTTTTTTGTCTAAAAAAACTACGCGTACATTTAACAGCGATCGTTTAAAATTTTAAAGGTACAATATCCAAGAAATTTGTATTATTGAGACGAATGTTTAAGACGAAAAATATATGTCACAAATTTGTGACATTTAGACATAATGCTTTTTTTGTTAACGAATATGGTATTAGAGAATTTTCTTTTATTTGCCATCTTTACTTGAAATGTAATATGATTTATCAATACTTTCAGAGATTTTTCAATAAAATTCATATATTTGATACTGATACCTATGTGTATGCTACTAAAATTTTGGGGATTGATTTCAAAGTGGCTTTTGAGTTTATTTTTTAAAACAGTTATATACAAACCTAATTTTAGATTTAAAAAACAAATAAGGAAGTAGAATTTCAAAATTCATATTAACATCACAAGACTACTAAAAAGAGTGATAAGAAAAAGAAAAAATAAAGGAATGCTAATAAAGACAACAAGAGGATAACAAAAAGAAACTTCAATATTCCTATTAATAATTACAAGCACAATTTCAAAATAAACAATTAAAACTTGTGGAAGCCATCTTGGTCCATTGGTTGACCAAGGATTTATTAATGCTTCTACACCAAGAGGTCTGGGGTTCGAGTCCCAGGTATTGCGATTTATTAATAAATTTGTAGATTAATGGAGGCAAGTGTGCAAGAGATTTCCAGCGATGTACAATTATAGCCGTTCGCCAGGATTCTACGCAGAGAAGAAAGTATCGCCAGGTCGTGGATCATTGAAGGTATTCATCAAAATTACAAAGAAAGGAAGTGTA